GGTGGAAATGATCCTGGATTCTACAGCATGGTTGAAAGACCTAGCCGAATGCCTTAGGAAAACAATGTGAAGGTGTGGATCGAATCCAGTGGCGATTTGCCCAGGCCTGTTTCATTGTTAGTAGGGTGTTACTTCATTCAATACTAATGAGGATTTAAGCCCAAACTCCAGCTGAGATCCTGGCTAGGAAATGTGTCATTAGGTTAGGTAGTCTAAGTCCAGAGGTCCAGGACTGCCCCGTATAAGATTTCAGAGCATTAGAGGTTCTTACTGGCTTTTCACCCAGATCCTAAGTTAAAGGCACCCAGTTAAGCCATACCTGTATTTCTGTCTTACAGAAATACCAAGATACTATATGTTTGTTATTATGAACAACTACTTTTTGAAATCATTTCTTTTGCAGCATGGATCTTTAATAAAATCAAATAGATCCATGTTTAAAAGTACATAGTTCATGTGAGTGTGTGTGTGTGTGTGTGTGTGTGTGTGTGTGTGTGTGTGTGTGTATGGGTTTATGTGTATAGAGGTGCATGTGCACATGCATATGCTCACAAAGACCAGAGGTCAACGTCAAGAATCATTTCTCAGGAGCCATTCACCTTGGTTGTTGAAGCAAGGTCCCTTACTGGGGCCTACAGCTCACCAGCCAGCTCACTCCACAGATTCTCCTGCTTCTGCTTCTCCAGCACTAGGATTCCAAGCACCCATCACCACACCGACCTAGCCTTTCATGTGAGTCCTGAAGATCAAGTGCAGGCTTGCATACTCTCACAGCAAACCCTTCTCCACCTGGGCCAACTCCCCAGCCCCCAAATGCATAGCTCTATAAAGCAATGTGAGACAAAAATGAATAAGTGACACAAGATGCCGCGGCATCTATGGATCTTGAAGTTTGTAAGCCCTGCACTAGACTTTATGTAAACACGTCATGGGTAGTACAGACTGTTCCCAGATTTGGATAAACAGTAGTGGCAAGAACTATGCACAGTGAAGTCTTCAGAGAGGTTGGATCTGAGGAAAGAAATGAGCTAAGGTGAGAGGATACAGTTACATTTCTGTAAAGATTCAAAGCAGATGTTAAAAAGAAAGAAAAGGAAGGAAGAGAGGAGAGGAGAGGGAAAGGAAGAAGAAGGGAGGGATGAGGAAAGAAGGGAAGAAGAAGGGAGAAAGAGGGAAGGAAGAAGGAAAAAACGGAAAACTGTCTACTGTGGATGTTTGGCACTGGCCTACTCTTCTCCTGTTTTGAAGATTGTTTCTTTATTCCAGACATAAGTGTAAATAGGAATTTGCTTATGAGCATGTTCAGGCTGAACACTGCTTATAACAGGAGGTTCAGATGTTTTACGGGCAAGTTCTAGCAAACCTACAAGAAGGAAATAAATGCTACATTATCTGACCTGACGCCAAGCATGATTTTTTAAAAAAAACAACAAATCACAGATCTTCCTAACCCACCCCTTCTACCCAGTGTTTGGAGCCTACAGTTAGCATGCTGGAGGAGGAGCAGTAAGTTGAGAGACCTATAACTGAGACAATGAAAAGAATAAAACAATCAGATCTGGTAGCCCAGTTCAAAGGTTGATTCTAGCTACTTGGGCAGATTGAGGCAGAAAGGTCTTAGGTTCAAGACCTGTGTCTGGGGTCCAGAATAAGTAAGTTCAAGGCAACCTTTGAAGACAAAATTTTTAGACTGAAAGTAGAGCTGAGGCCATAGTGCAGGGTGGGACACTTGCCTAACGTGCAAACGCTGTAGCTTCAGTCCCCAGCACTGTAAAACCTAATTAATTTATTTATCAAAATAAACTTGATAGATTGAAAATACTGCAAAACAGAATTTGAAAACTCAGGCATGCTGACATCTGGTATGGCTAATGGAAGTGTTGAAGGAGATGGACTTCCCTGAAACACTGTAACATAAGGAACTTTATAGAACATCCCAAGCAGTAAAGGGTAAGAGGTGTCCTACATCCAAGATCCCATTGCTTCTCCGGAAAGAATGATGAGTCTTCATCTTTGCCTGTTCCTAACTTTCATTTGAGATTCCAGTTACAAAAAAAATGGATAACTGTGACAGACACATCAACCAACAGCAGAATTGAAAACTGATTCATGAACTCACACAAATATCTATGATCAGCTAATTTTTGACAGGAGTTCTAAGGTCACCCAAAGGAGAGAGAGAATAGTCTTTTCTACAAATAAGGCTAAAATAACTAGACAGCCATATCCCAAGGCTAAAAAATCTCCACATGCTTCTGTTCTAAATGTGTTTTGTAATCTCTTCCTATCATAAAAACCTATATGGAGTCAACATTTCTATTGTGCTTTGTAGAGGGGGGACCCTCCAGTTCTTGTCATTGTGCTGAAAACAGAAAGGTTCTGGGTCTCCATGTAGAGGTGTGTGGAATTCCTTTTTGTTTCCTTTTTCTCTGTATATCGAACCAGATACAGTTAGCATCTGATGACACATTCTCTTTCTCTAGTACCATTGTGTGTGAGGTCAATTCTCCTCATCCATCATGTGGGTGCTGGGGATCAAGTTGTCCTCTAATCTCCACAAGGTCATCATGGCATGTGCCCGACACATACACATATACAAAATAATAAATAAGTGCAAATTATTTTTATTAGATTCCTCTCCTAATGGGAGAAACACAGAGGCATGTGCCTTTAATCCTAGCATTTGGGAGGCAAGAGACAGGCAGGTCTCTGTGAGTTTGAGGTTAGCCAAGACCACCAAAAAACCCTGCTAACGATGACTGGAGCCTTGCCACTCATTGGGGGAGTCAACAGAAGCTGCAGGATTTTATTTAGAGTTGATAATTCATATGATAACTTTGTTTTATCTTCAGAGTTTTCTTGTTTTTCCCCTGGAGAGGAAAAATAGTGTTCCACTTTAAACTTTAAATGTATAAAAGTTGTTTTATTACAGTACAGCTCAATGTGTACACAGAGAACTGGATGCCTTTTTCTCAGAATAGAGCTAGCTGTAGCCTTCCCAGTTTGACTTTTTTAATAGCGTCTTCCTCAGACTTGGTCACCCTAACTTTGTGTCTTGTAGGCATGGTACAGGCTGACTTCCAGGCTATGTAGACTGAATAAGAGGATCTGACTCAATGCCTTAAAGTTTATAACGTTGGTCGTTTGCTAGTGTAGAAGTCTACTCTTGGTTTTTTTTATTTTTAATCTCGATTTGTCACTCTTTTAAATGAGATTTTAGTTACCTCAATACTGTGGTAATTGTGTCTGCTACTACTGTCCCACAGACCTGTTGCTCAATGTCAGGGTGTATAGAGGGCAGCTATGAGTGGCAACACAAATGGTAGCCAAGAAGATGGGCCGTCATAAGAAGTCCACACTGGTGACTAGGAATGCTTTCACTATTTCACCGGATGTGCGGCAGGAAGTTCTCAGATGTGACTGTGCAGCTCTGAATGAGGATGTCTCTCTGCCCAATGCCATTGTGAAAGAGAACTACTGACTGCCTAAGTCTTTCAGTGCCGTCAAGCAGAGCTGAAATTCGATGCCTGGACAAACTTGAAGCTGTTTGGTTGTATAAACTTTCTGAAATGAACTATTCCATCAATAAGCAAAGTGTAATCAAGACCCGTCTACATGAGTGGGGTACCATTTCTGGACAGGACTTTGTTTAGTCAATGTATACCTGTCAGGAAGCTTGCCCCAGTAAAGAAACATATTCAGTATTTTTAGTTTTATTTTTAATTGGCCATTAAATAAATTGATTGGAAAAAAAATTAGATGGGTAATGGTGGTGCATGCCTTTAATCCCATTACCCAAGAGACAGAGGCAGGCAGATCTTTGAGTTCTATTCCAGCCTGCTCTATAGAGCGAGTTCTGCACAGAGAAGCCCTGATTCAGGGTATGGGGTGGGGGCTAACTATTATTAGGTGAATTATCCCTCAGCTATCCTCCATGACCAATATCTCAAATTTATGTATTTTCATATTTATATGTGGTCAGGTTTGATCTGGTTTGGTTTGGTTAGATTTAAGGTCTCTGTAGCCCAAGGTGGCCTAGGATTCATTGTGTATCTGAAGATGACCTTCAGCTGCTGTTTTTTCTCCCAGATGCTAGGGTTGCAGGTATGCACCACCATGCCTAGTTTAGAAGGAGCTTGGGATCTAACCCTGGGCTTCATGCATGCCAGACAAGCTCATTACCAACCCTGCCGCATCCCTGACCTATTCAGCTATTGTTGCTACGGGATCTCCTTATGTACCCCGGGCAGCCTGGAGCTCATGATCCTCTCAGTGTCCAGGGCGCTGGAGTTAAAGGCTCGCTGCCCTTCGCTCAGTACAGAGGCTTATGTCCATCTGTAGCTTTCCTGAATTATCATTGCTTTGGGTTTTTCAAATCCACTCCTCATGGGGAAACTAAGACCACTCAGTTTCAAAGAGCTCTTGGTGATAAGAAGGTTAGAAACAAGCTAGTTACTTGTCTTCCAGCTTGAGCATCTATAGTTCCAGATACCCGCTACCCATGTAGATTAATGCAGATTTTCTGACCAGGGGGCTGCGGTTTAGTGTGTTCAAATGTGACCTAAATGAAAGCAGTCTGTAAGTCTTACTCAATAAACTTAACCACTCAAATTTTTATTAGCAGCCGGCAGCAAAAGCGTCTCCAGAAAAAGACCAGACAAAAATCAAAAGAAAGGAGAATCGGAGAGAAGGCTTTGCTGACATGAAATGAACTGACATCAGGAAATGCACGCTGGGAAGGCAGACCATGCCTGCTGACATGCCACCCTTGGGTAAGATCTCCTCAGAGCTGACAAGTCTTCTCCTCAGCACTTGTAGAGAACGTGGGTCTGAACTCCAGTAAAGTCATAGTGGAGGCAACATCTGTCTGTGCAGGGCTGGAGGCAGGCACTCACAGGATGGCTCCATACTTGTGGACTATAGCACACCCTCAGAAGAGCTATGTAGAGAGTTCCATCGTGAAGCTTAGCCTTAGGGAGGCTGGACTCACAGTTAGGTTGTCAGGAAGTAGGCTCACAGGTGCCCGCTTGGCATATGTCTGGAGAGGTTAGTGGACAGCAACCGGGGCAACTGCTAGAAGGTTTGCCTAAACCAGTCACACAGCAAGGGGGCTGGCAGGAAGGAGATTGGCAGTCACTCTGATCGGGAGTGGGTTCACCACAAGTCGGTTGTCCAGAAATCTTAACGCATGATGCTGATTTGCTGCTGCTCTTTACAAAACAGGGAGAGTGGCAGGGAGCCACTGGCTGGCAGATGAAGGAGATCATAGGTGTTGTTTGACAATGAAGTGGCTGGCAAGGGGAGGGCGCACAGCAAGTTTGACTGCAAGGACACATACAAGTTACTGGCTGGCAGGAGACAGGCATGCAGGGAGCTGGCTGGCAGGACTTAAGAACATAGCAGATAGGTTGGTAATAAACTAACTGACAGAGCTGACCTTCACCTTTGTTGTGTTGACATGGCCCTCCTTGGCAGCTGGTTGGTTGGCACGAGCCAGCTTCACAGCTGGCTGGTAGACACGGGGTCTCAGCACACAATGTTGCTTCAGAGCAGGATGGCTGGCAGGCTCCATCATCACAGGAAGCAGATGGGCCACATGCTGTCTGGCATGACCCTGATGTGCAGGCAGATCCCTGGCAGGAGCTCTGGTGGCAGGAGCTGTTCTCATAGCACATCGTGTGACAACCAGCAGATTCCAGACAGGAGGGCTGGCGTGAGGCAGCAGGATGAGGAGTTCCACCGGTGTCAGATGCACAGCCAGCTGTGTGGGAACCTATGGGTTGGCAAACAAAACCCACACAGGAAGTTTCTGGAAAGCAGGTTGATGGGCCAGAAACAGGTTCAGAGCTAACTGGGGCTCTGTTGGGTCCTTGACGGTTTTCTTGATGTGTAACCAGTTGCCACGTCCTACACCGGCAGGAACTGGGTAAACAGATAGCATTTCTAATGAAGCCACCATTGGAGCACGTAGAGATGGTGGGCACAGCTGAAACAGCCTTGGGGTTGCTGGGACAACAGCTGTCTGCCATGGTGCTCACTAGCCAGCTTGGGAGGCTGCAAGCTCCATCCCTTTGAAAAAGACATCTGATTCCAAGGGGATTTTATAGTCCTTCCCTGGGGCGTTGGCCCTGCCTACAGCATCTTTCCTTGTTGGTGTTCTTATTCATTTACATATAAACATCGGGTGAGGGCTTTAGGAGCCCTGCAAGAGGCCCCCACTGGGAGTTTTCTTTGCCGAATTTGGATGCACTCTGGGATGAGCTGTCTCTTTTACAGGTTGTTCCTCAGCCTCACCAAAGCAAGCTTTTCCTCAGTACCCTCTCATCAGGAGGCCTCCTCCAAGAGGAAGCCACTCTTCCTCCAGGACGCAGTTCTGTGCCATCAGATAAGGTGGAGTGCTAACAGTATTCAAAGAGAAGGTGTGATATCAAAGATGAACAGAAAACTAGTCTCTTCACTTCGGCGTTTTGAACTTAACTCTTGATTTGGGGCCTACAATTAACAGCTGCGATGGCTTCCATTAGCACACTTATCATGTATGATTGAGCCTTTGTTGACTCAGTCATTTCATAAATCCTTCATTCATTCTTGAAATGACCTTAGCTAGTAAGTATGGTTAACATCTCTATTTTAAAAGTAACAAGACAAACTCGGAGTTTAAACTATGTTAAAACAAAATTCAAATCCAGAGTCATTGGTCCCAAAATCTCTACTCAACTGGATCCCCTGAGGAGGTACAGAGAGCACTAGGGGCAGGTACAGAGAGGCTGGATGACATTCACACACCAGAGCAGGCCTATAGGCAGCATGTCCAGGCCCTGTGACAGGTGACAGGGATCATCTTCCCAGTACAGGGCGATGTTAGCTGGATCAAATGTGTTGAATGTTTACCTCTATTTAGTAATGTACCCAAAGATGATCTTATCATTTGGAAATTTAAAATATAAACATTCAGTCAAGCATGGTGACTAACCCCTCTAATTCTGATATTTGTGAAGCTGAGGCAGAAGAGTTGCTGTAAGTTCAAGCCCAGTATGGGCTGCACAGAGACTTGCAGTTCAGCCTGTATGAGAAACTTCTCAAACTTCTCAAAAGTTTCTGGGGAAGTAAAGCAACCCTTCAAATATTTCATGAAGGGGTATTAAACTCATAAAATGGTGATCAACAGCTTATGAATCCCACAAATATAAAACTTCAACAACCAGAAATACCAGGTCATCTCTGCAAAGCATTTTAAAGTTCAAGCAATCTCTTACAAGAAGAAGTTGTGATGCTCTCTTGGGACCTGTCTCTTTTTCCTCTGGGCTCAAGTGGGTGGCTGCACCACCAACTGATTCCAGCATCCCACGCAAGTGCACGTCCTGGCCTGGTTCCTGCTGAGGCTTGCGATGGGATGGAAGGATGATGGTGTGGGGCGCCAGGCAGGGATAATCTTAACTTCGGGATTTGCAGCTCATTCTGTGGAACAGGGTGGCTCATTACCCACATCTTCAAAGTACCAGGACATCATAAGATATCTTGATGCTTCTTGGGTTAACTCAGCTGCTTCAGAAACAGATGAAATAACTGGAGATTCTGGAAGGGTCTTGGCAGCTGTGGAATATTGTCTTTTGACTCCCTCTTCTCCCCCTGTTTTGAAAGAAGAGAAACTCCTGAGGAGAGAAGTGCCTTGGGGAGACACTCACCCTTGTCATTAAAGAGTCCTTCACTACCACTGTCTTTTCATCCTGGCATGGATGGCTCCTGGCAGCCTTCTCCTCCTCACACTCTCATGTTGTCATCTTTAAGACAGCTACCCCTATAAATCTGATATGTCTACCCCAAAGTTCTTCATCCCCAGAGAGAAATACATTTAGTCTCACCAAAGAAGTCAACCATACTAAGAAACATACAAATATTTGAAATATAATACAAATTTCAGTTTGAAAAATGAAATTCATTGCTGAGCCATCCCAGTTACATCAACAGAAAGCTTCATTTCTCATCTATTTTTCTCCCAGCGATTCTGCTTTTATTTTATTCTTAAAAAATAAAATACCTCAGTTGAGAGAAAATTTTATTTTCTGTCAACTTAATGTAACTGAAGGCTCTGAAGATACCTGCAACATCATTGGAAGACATTGCATGGCTACAGCATGAGATACAGCTGTGGGACTGGAGAGAGGACTCGGCATTTAGAGTGCTTGCTACACAACCAAGAAGACCAGAGTCCAGATGCCACATTAAAAAGCCAGTCATGGCCGTGGGTGCCCATGACCTCAAGATTGTTAGAGTTTGAGACACAAGGATCACTAGCGTTTGGTGATCACCACCCTAGCTTCAGTGAGAGGCCCTGTGTCAGGGAAATAAGTCAGAGCTTGATCCAGTAGGACAAGTGAAGTCCTCCTCTGACTGCAGACCAAGTTCACACATACACACACACACACACACACACACACACACACACACACACAGAGAGATACATATGGATGTATACAGCATACATTCTCTGGTTCTTTCTCGCCCTTATTCTCTCTCTCTCTCTCTCTTAATCTAGTATAGTGATTTATAATATTTATTTTTAAAAAAACAGACTTTGGACACAGCGCCATGTTTAAATAATTTATGCTACTTACTATCTGTAACTATCATATATAGAAATACAGATAGAGATAAATAGATATCTTATAAGGTATATATTTGTATTTGTATATTTATATGTGCATGTGTATCCATATATATCCATGTATGGATATATATGGATGGATTGGTTTTATACTTTAAGTATAAATATCATCTTCTAGGGTTTGTTTAAATCAATCAACTCAACATCGTTATGAGTGCTCACTCGTGTTGTTATCTACCCTTTTTTGCACAGCAACATAATACTTCATTGTGTTGATTAAACCACATTCTATTTATCTCTTCATTGGCTCTTAGCTTGATTGACCTTCAGATGTTTCATCTCACACATAGAAGAGAAACAGGGCAGGAAGAAATCTTACCTTAAAGAATAACAATGATTTACACGAAACACTAAGTCTAGTGCCTGGCATCAAGAATGGAAACCCTGGCTAACTCCTCATCTGAAGGAGATAGATTAAATCCTAATGTCCTGTCGTGACAGTAACTCCAACCAACACCCGTGCACAGATAAGTGTCACTATTGACTTTCTGTCTCCGCTGTTGCATAACCTGATTCTCCAGTAGCTGGTTTCATGACTCCCTCGGGATTTCTGGCAATGCCTAGCTGGTAGGGACCAGGAATTCTGCTTGATGATCTCTAAGGCTCCTCGGCAAATGACTGTCCCATTCAAATGTCAGTGGTGACAAAGCTGAGAAGCCCTGGTCTGTCCTCTCCTGTGCTTATGATTGTTCATGTTAGACCTGGAGGACAGGAGAGACCCTTCATTCTATGTGTGAAGTAAAAATGTGACTGCTTTGAAGAGATTATGTGCTTCAGATGTTTAGGTAACAGTGTCTGTGGGATCAGAACACAAGGCTATCCTACAAGACTCCCCATTGCCCAGCCCTCCTTACTACAAGCAAGACTCCCATTTGTTGTTCTCATTCCTCTTTGACCCACCAAAGACTTTGTTTCCTTCCATTTATGTACATCCAGGACCATGTCTTTCCATTGAGTCTTCCATGCCAAGGCCAGAGAGACTTTCCAAAACCCATCTTCCTTCATGCTCCTGCCCTGCATAGAGTCCTCAGTGACTTCACATCAGCCCTTCACCAAACCAAACAAACATCTATCTATCCCACAAGGTCCTCTGTAGAAAGATGATTGCCTGCCACCCACGGTCAGGGTCACCTTCCCTCTAAGGACACCTCTGACAAGAATCACCTAGTGGACAGTTGGCTCCCAGCCCTGCTCATCTGTCTGTAAATTTCCTTCCTAGAGAGCTTCTCCTCTGCACCTGGCTAATTCTTACTTATACCAAAGGATGTGAGCTCTCTGCTTTGCATAAAGGAATATAGTAACCATTTCATTGACATGTGTCACCACAGCACGGGGTGATTTCCTAGAAGAGTGAGGACTGAGATGTCTGTCTTTTGATCCCTACAGCATAGCACTATCCATGTCGCTTACCTAGCAGCTAGTCTATAGCACCACTGGTTGCCTAGCTAGATGCACATTAGAAGGATGAGTAGATTGGAAAGGAGGGAGGAGAAGAGAGAGAGAGAGAGAAGGAAGGATGAAAGATGGAGGGATAGTAAGAAATAAGAACAAGGAGGAAAGAAGGGAAATAAAGGAAGAAAGTAATGGAGCAAGGGGAAAGGGAATGAGGAAAGTTAAAATGAAAGGGAAAAGAAGAAAGGAAGAGAGGAATGGAAGGGAAGGATGGAAACAGAGACAGAGGGAGGAAGGGAGGGAGGAGGGAAGGAAAGGAAAGAAGGAAGACTTGGTGGTGATAGCAATAGACACTTTAAAAGGAAAGAGGAAAACGAGGGGGGAGTAAAGAGGGAAGAGGATGGGGAGAACAGAAAGCAGGATGAGAAGTAGAGAAGGAAGAGGGGAAGTGAGGGAGGAAGAATAAAAATAGATAAGGGAAAGAAGAAAGCAAGGAATAAAGAATCAAAAGAAACTAGTGATCAGGAAAAGCTTTGAAAGGGAAGGAGAAAGAGGGAGTAAAGAAGGAAAGAAGACTAGATGGAGGGAAAGAGGACACCAACAACTTTAAAGGAAAGGGGGGAGGAGTGGAAAGAGAGAGACGGGATTGGGATGTGGGGGAAAGGAGAGAGGGAAGGAAAGAAGAAAGAGAGGAAGAAGAAAGGGGAGGAAGCATACATGGAAGGAATAATGGATGGAGAAATGAAGGGAGGGAGAGATTGAGGCATGAATGAACCAAAGGAAGGGGAGATTGAAAAGGGAGAGGTGGGTAGAAGGGAAAGAGGAAAAGAGAGGGGGGAGAGAGAGAGGGAAGGAAGGAAGAAAGTGTGGTGGGATAGATGGAAGGATAGAAGGAAGAAGGGAGAGAGGAATAGAAAAGAGGGTTGGATTGAAGGAGGGATGTATAGGAGGGATGGGTGGAAGGAGGAATGGTCAGGGGTGCTTTCTCCAAGAAAAGCAAGAACCATGTGTCACTTCAATGCAGCCACTTTTATTGCACAACTAAATATATCTCACTGTAGATGCTCTCAAGGAACACAATACATGAAGACAAAAAGCATCTTGAGTCGGAAAGAGTCCAGTGATGTGACAAAGCAGTTCTCAGTGTACTGGTAACAGAAGGCAGCATTCCTTTCTCTGTGCAGGAGGTCTTCACTGAGACCACTAGGAGGTTGGAACTTTTGATAAGTTCTCTGAAGCATAAGCAAGTGGTGTCTGGCAGTGTAGCATGAACAAGATTCTAGCTATGTTGTAATGAGGTGTGCATGGGGCTCTCCCGTTTTCTCTCTGGCTTTTGTTGCGTTTGCAGGAACTGGTGAGCTGGAGCTGGCTCAGCGGTCAGCAGGCTTGCTGGCAGCAGACTGAGGGGCTGCAGCATCACGGGTGATGGGGCTGGCGGGTTTGATCTCAGAGGGCTGGCAGGGAGTCTCATCTGTGACCTCTGTCTTGCCGGGTGTTGAGTCAGCACAGTCGGGCTGACTGGAAGTTGACTTTTTGGAATCACGCTTATCGTTGTCAGAATCAGCGCAAGGCTGGCGGGAGCAGACAGGGCGGTAGGAGTAAGAAGCTAGGCAGGTGGGGCGGCGTAGTATGGAATAGCAGGAGCGGTAGCAGGCTGGACGGTAAGTGATGGATGTCACATAAGGCTGCCTAAAGGTGATGGGTCCAGAACAGATGGGGCGGCAGATAGGGCGGCAGGAAACTGGACTACAAGGAGACTTGCAGGAACTAGGTATGTAGAAAGTCCGAGGAGGGCAAGCTGGTTGGCAGATGGCAGATGCAGAAGACCCTGGGCGGCAGCAAGCAGGTTGGCAGGAAGGAGATGGGCAGGAAACAGGCTCACAGCAGACCGAACTGCATCGTTTGACTATGTAGCAAGAAGGTTGGCATGGGGTGGGCACACACACCGATGGCAGGCAAGGACTGGGCTCAGGGCAGACAGGTTGACAGATACTGGAGACACATGAGGAGTCTTGGCAACTGTTAGAGACACATGGTGGCGCACAAGGACCCTGGACACAGCAGACAGGACGGAGACAAACAGGCTCACACACCAAAGTCATACAGGCAGATGGCTGACAAACACTGGCCTCTGAGCATGGTGGTTCACAGGGAGTGGAGTCACAGCCGACTGGCTGGCAGCTACTGGCTGCAGAGCAGACAGAGGCACAGCAGCTAGGTGTTGGGCACACTGGCTGGCAGCAAGCAGGCTCACAAATCACAGGCTCACAGATCATTGGTTGGCAAGAAGCAGGCACAGTGCAGACAGCTGAGCAGCAGCTGGGCTCACAGGTCACTGGCTGGCAGCAGCTGGGTTTGCACATCACCGGCTGGCAGGAGACGGGCAAGCAGAGGACAGGCTGGCAGGATGCAGTCTCACAACACACGGGCTGGCAGCTGCTCACAGAACAAGAAGGCTGGCACATGGTGGCCTCACAGCACACAGGTTGGGCACAGGTGTTCATGGAGCAGGAAGGCTCACAAATGGTGGCCTCGCAGCACACGGGTTGACAGCAACTGCCCGCAGAGCAAGAAGGCTCACAAATGGTGGCCTCGCAGCACACGGGTTGAGCACAGCTGCTCACAGAACAGGAGGGCTCACAAATGGTGGCCTCGCAGCACACTGGCTGGCAGCAACTGCTCACGGAGCACGAAGGCTGGCAGCATTGTGAACCACAGCCAGATGACCCACAGCTGTCCTCGCAAGTCACCAGCTGCCACGTCTGGCTCCGGCAGGAGCTGGGTAGGCAGATGGGTCCTCCACAGCTCACCTCAGTAGAGCAGAGAGAGATGGCGGGCAGGGAGGGGCATTTCCTAGAACAACAGCAGCCAGACATGGTGGAGATACCTCTGTCTCAGAATGAGTGCTGCCGGAGTGTGCCATCTCCCTTTTATACTCCCTCAGTGGTGCATGCTGTTTGGAGGGCCCTGCATCTTTTCCTCATTGTTGCTTGGGCCCTGTTTCTGTAGGAACATCTTATTATGCTAACATTTGTTGATCTAGAAGTTGTTTGTCTGCCTATAAGGAAGATGTTTATTTACTGACTTGCTAAATATGGAATCCTCAAAGCTACAGGTAGTCCCGGGATGAGCATCATCACCTTCATGATGGATGGCCTCTATCCAAGCATCCTGAAGAAGGAAAGAAGAAAGGAACCTATAATTTAGCTGCCATCTACCCTTGCACTACTTCACCTGGGCTAGGCACAGATGTCAATATGAGTATGACTGCCTACCCTGCAGCAGGCAAACAAGTCAGGAGCAGATTTAACTGCACTAGCATGAAAAGCTCCACAGAGATGCACAGTGAGGAGCTCAGTTGTGGGTAGGACTTCCAGACGAAACCGTCAGTGGCTTCAGTCCACAACCACCCTGTGAGGGTCAGATTAGTCTCCACAGTTACAGATGGATAACTGAGGGTAGAGGGTAAGAAAGGTTAAGTCACTTGCTGTAGGTTGCTCCTGTCGTCTCCACCTGTAGGCTTTCAGCAATCTGAACGTCCTTTAAGAAAAAGTGTCGTATTTATTTACTATATACATATACATGTGCAGGTGCATACATGTGCAGGTGCACGTATGTACATGCATGCATGTGCCGTGCACATCTGTGGAAGAGGACAATTCAGGAGTCAGTTCTCTCTGCCTACCATGTGGATCCTGGGGACTGAACACAAGTCATCGGGCTTGGTGACAAGCACCTTGACCTGTTGAGCTATCTCACTGGCTCTGAACCTCAACTTTCTCATCAGACACCATCAATGTAACGTGTAATAGGCTCAACCAGTGATGCCACCCTCCATCCTGTTCTACTAGCCGCCCTACTCAAGAACACTTGTTCCATCTGTCCCTAGAAAGTGCTTGACACAGTTTCTCTGCTTCTCCATCTTTTCCTTCCACGTCTATCCCAAGCATTCAGTGAAGCTGGCAAGGCATTTGTACCCAGTCCCAGTGTGGGGCAGGCACTAAGGCATGACCGTGCTGAAGAGCCTGGCTGTTTCAGCTTCCACACAGGGCAGACCCATTGTGAGAGATTTTGAGAGTTCTTAGAAGGTAAACACTGGGACCAGTAAGATGGCTTAGTGAGTAAAGGTGACCACCGCCAAGCCTGACAACCTGAGTTTGATCCCGGGACTCATATGATGGAAAAAGAGAACCAACTCCTGCAAACTTTCCTCTGATGCTCATACATATGCCATGTCCCACACATACCCCACATAAATAAATAAATGTAAAGATATTGACTTTTTAAAAAAAACTTTTATTAATTATTTTACTTATCTACATTTCAAATATTATCCCCCTTTCTGGCCCCCCTCCATGATACTCCCACCCTATCCCCCATCCCCTTCGCCTCTAAGAGGGTGCTCCCCCACCCACACACCCACTCCCACCTCACCCCTCTAGCATCTGCATTTATTTTATGCTGAATTTATTCCCATGTCCTAAATTCCTGTTTCTTCAGTTCTCTTCTGGGATGTATTTTTCTTCTGTGCAAACTCCTCTTCTGGATTTGGAACATCTGTTCCTTTTCAGTGAGGATCATCTCGAGGTTCTGGGGAGCTCATGCAAACTTGTCGGGACATCTCAGGTGCTTTGTTGACTGGGTGTGTTCAGTGACTAGAGAATCTATATCTAAACCCTTAAGCTTGGCATTACTCTCTGCATTTTGAAGCATGTGCAGCAAAAAATCAACACTATTTTTGGCTGCTGATGCTGTGCCCAGCCCCACTGTTTGACACTACCAACTCCACCATTATACCACTGGAACACCATGTGTGTCTTTAAAGTGACATCTTTCAAATACTTGGTGGCTTTTCAGATATCCATACCCTTGGTGGCCTGAACAGTTTCATAAGTATTCTTAAAGTGAACTTGAAGATTTGAATATCTTGATTTGCATAATTTTTGTCGGGTTTACTGGGTGAAGAGAGTAGTGAACTATCTTCCCAGGTTACCTCAGGCTGCTTACAGAAAGAGCAAATGTTAAGTCATTTGAAGATAGTTCCAGGATTTGTGAAGTGAAGAGAAAAGGTGGTTTCCCAGGTTGGTTCCTAAGGTACCAATAAGAATAAGAATCCTCTTTGCTGCTGTGTAAGATGAGGTGAGAAACAAACCACAAGTTTTCAGACACCAAAGGTAGGACTTCTTGTCCAATGAAAGGCAAGTCTTGCCTGTGTTTTCAGCCTGAGTGTAGGTTACCTTCCCTGGAAAGTTTAGCATTGGCCATCATTCACCATTCCCTTAATGTGTTAATGTACATAATTATTCACTCAGTTTCTCTTTGTCTTATCCATCAACCAGGACAGCACTGGGACCTGCAGGAGGGATAGAAAAGAATGACCAACAATTTCAGTCGCAATGTACAGGTTAAAAGAGAGATGTGCACACTACTGAGCGGTTGTGACATTATGGTGATTGTAATAGAGATTTGAAAGCACATTGAGGGTACTGGGAGAAATATGCATATGGGGTTTAGGAAGAGAAGAAAGCTTTCTCAAGTCATAAGTAAGATGGTCAATAGAATCCTCCAGGAATGATGAAAAGGTCAGTCCTTGGAAACCAAAGACACAGAGCAGGATACATCCCAGAAATAATTTGACAGCTCATGCAATTGACACAGTCAGGAAGAAGAGCACAGGAGACAGGAGGAGACTGTACTGGGACCATAGCAGTTACTTAGGCACCAAGCTATAGAAGGTCTTGAGTAAGAAGCTAGATTTAATAATGAATGATACTTGGCGGTTTAAGCCAAGGAAGTAATGGGCTTGTGATTTTATAAATCTCTGCCTATGGAGATGGGAGAAAGAGGGCAAGTTTAAAGTAGAGAGACCATAAGGAGACTGGCCAATTGCCCAAAAGCCTCTTGGCAACAACCTGGACCTGGCAGCTGTTTGGACTAGAGCAGTAGGAGAGGTTTTAAGGCAGCAGAATCTAGAAGTTTCCATGGTTGAGACTAGAAAGGACCACCATTCTTTGAGATATCCCTTCTCAGCTATGGGGAATAGGTACCTTCCTAAAGCCTTGTAGAGGGAGCAGTGGAGAGCTCATCAATTCCCTGTCATTCATAGGTCCTCTCCCTCTGCTTCCCTTCCTCAGCTAAGCCAGTGATGGAGTTGTAGTTGTTGATGATTCCCTCAAAAAAAAAGCCCTCATAAACTCTCTGATGAGAGCTGACAGGGCATTGTCCTTTATACTGTGGTGTTATCTCCTCCAAGAATCCTCCCCTGCTAAATGAAGTGGCAGCTCTTCTGTGTGGCCCATCCTCACTCTACTCAACTCATCTTCAAAGCACTGCTCACCTTCCAGCATCATCCAGGTCCCATAAGGGCAAGGACTTAAGTCTATTCAGTGTTTGCATACCTGGTACCCAGAGTCAAGACTGATACACAGGCAGTGTGCAATTACTATTTATCGAGTGGACTAATGAGAACGTGTGCGTGTAGCTAAGAAGGACAACCCTAGTTGGTAACTCAAAGAAATCACTACCTCCACCCATGCATCCGGGTGACATAGCCATGAGCAATGGATTGATCAGCTGCTCTGAATCACAGACACTCCGTACACAGCCATTGGTCTGTTGGCAGGTTTGTCCCATCACCCCATCGTTGACAGGATACTCCTTCTACAGAGTTTGTTCTGGCAGTTAAAGTCTCCCTTTAAGAGACCAGCTATAGCCAGAGTAAAAAGTAACTGAAATAATGGAGTCTGAGATGATATCAAAGCAAAGTGGAATCTCATATCCTCTGAAAGCAAGACATACCGCTACCTATATTTTATAATAAAACCCCAAATTGAAAGCATAATAGCAGAAGGAGAGACCATATGAATGACAGAGCACTAGTGAGCTCTCCACCTCTCCCCCTACAAGGCTGTCAGAAGGTAGGTGTATTGTACTTCCAGAAGATATATATATATATATATATATATATATATATATATATATATATATATATTTGAAGATAAAAAGACTGATAATATCAAGTGCTTACAAGGGCTTGGAGTAACTGAAACCCTCAGACATGGCTAATCGGAATACAAAATGGTATAACCACTTTGCAAAACAATTTAATATTTTCTTGTATATTTAGATATCCAATAACCATTTCCCCCAGAAATGTAATCCTTATGTATTTTCCAAAATGAATGAAAACATTGTTTATATGATAACTTGAACACAAATGTTTCTGAAAGCTTTATTCACAATGATGAAAAATTATAAGCCACACAAGTATCCTTCATTTAACAGATGGATTTTTAATATCATCTATCCATACAATGAAATACTAGTCAACTTAAAAAAAAAAAAGAACAAACTAGTGCTTGGGGAACTGAGTCAGTAAAGTATTCATTGTATAGGAACAAGGACCTGAGTTTGATTCCCAAGGCCCACATTGAAAAAAGAAAGAAAGAAAGAAAGAAAGAAAGTTTCTAAGGCAGCAAGTCTTTGTAATCCCAGTGCTAATGAAGTAGAGGCAGACAGGACGCTGGAACTCACTGGCCAGCCTGTCTACCTGCTTGATCCTTGAGAGAGACCCTGACTCAAAGGAGAACAGATGAACGGTGCCCAAGGAGCATAGCCAAGGCTGGCGTCTGATCATGTGCATGAACACCCATATACACATGTGCAGTCATACACAAGAACATGACACTCATGCTTACACACAGAGAGGGAGAAACCTTATTCGGGCAGCAATGTGGATGAATATCAAAGCTGTTACACTGAATGAGAAGAATTCACACTGCATGGTTTCTTTCTTAATGAAATTCTAGACATGAAAGAGCTGATAGCTGCCAGGGACTGAGGAGGGTGACCTACTGGAAGAAGAAAGCAGGGAGTTTGGAATGTGGTGGAGCCTTCCGTGATCTGCGTGCATCTGTGATACCACAAGGACAGGATGTACAATAGTCAGGTCTCATCGGGCTGGTATAAAATGATAGCATTTAATCACATGTCAATCACATAGCAGTAAAATATATTGACATATAAAAGTTTATGAAAGTCTCAAAGAATATACTTTCTGAGTGTTTAAGTGAAACAGAAAAAATTGAAAGGCATTATCATAGAAGCAGCCTCCTGCTTGTGCCTGTGGATATGCTTATGAAGGCCTCTTGAGATACGTGTCAGTGAGAAAACCCGAGCATTCCACTGGCTGTTTCTGCTGTCTATGATCCTATAGCTTGCATCCTTTAAGAATCATCCCTCTGCTTATAGTCAGATATATGATATATAATATATACATTCTTTTTATATATTATGTAGTCTTTATATATAACATCCTTTATATAATATATTCTTTATAAATAATATATCCTTTATATATGCTATATGTGCTTTTTATATAACATATATTCTATATCTAATATATCTTTTATATATAATATGTGTCCTTTGTATATAATATATATCCTTTACATACACACACATATATATGTGTGTATGTACTATATATGCTTTATATATTATATATATTTTATATATAATATAACCTTTATATATTTTTGAGAGAGAGAGACTGAGACTTCTGGCCAAGAATTGTGGTGCATACCTTTAACCCTAGCATTAAGGAGGCAGAGGCAGGCAGATGAGTTAAAGGCCAGCCTGACCTATATAGGGAGTTCCAGGCTAACTGGGGTTATATGGTAAGACCTGGTCATTCCTCTATTTCCTCTGTAAAAGTAAAAATAAATACTGTTCCCTTAGTGCAAGAACAGGCTTTATTTAGTTTAACCCTTGTGTCACTTTCAATCATTCCTGACTAGGGATCAATCCACTATTACATGAGTTTTAACTTCCTAGCTAGGCTTGTTCTGTACATGTGTCCCTTCCCTTCCTCTCAGTACAGTAACTGCAGCTAGCTCCAGGACAAAAACAAACAAAACAAAAAGACAAAAAAATTAAAAAAAACAACAACCCAAAAAGCAAGACCAGAACATGAGGCTAGAGAAAAATCGGGACCACACAAACATCCTCAGAAACTGCACATTCCCACAGTCTGGCCACAGAACTCCCTGCCATTCACAGCCAACTTGGGATGGATTTATGAGGCCAGCTGCTACATGGAAGGCTGAGGCAGGAGGATTCTAAATTTAAGGTCAGCTGGGACAACTTAGTGTGACCCTATCTCACAATAAAAAGTAAAAGAAAGCCTGAGAATTCACCCCCACGGTAGAGGTCTTACCTATCATGCCTTTGAAGCTCTAAATTCAACCTCTAACATGGAAGAAGAGTCATTAGCCTGCTTGCCTCCTCTGACTTTGCCTCCTCTGACTTTGCCTCCTCTGACTGCCACAGGGTTCAGGCCAAGCATCCTAGAAGCACAGAACAGAAAGCAGGCGCGCATCCTGAGCTTGATAAAACACAGCTAGAGTCAGCATGCCTCGAAGCTTTCAGAAACATGACCTCAGGCATCCCAGGTCCTAGAGCAAATGGGAAACCACAGCTAGTGGTGACACCTAGGTATTGTCAAAGCCTCCCTACGTGACTCTCAGACTGCACTCAGCAGCTTCTGTCTACAGTCTGTCTACAATCTGTACAACTTCCAACCCTCCGTGTTCGAATTACCTGTGTTCCTATGAAAAACACAGATCCCCAGGCCACACCCCTACAGCACGCCCTATGTTCAGGGAGGGCTCCAGAACCTAGTTTTAACCAGCCTCCTCCGACTCTGCTGCAGGAGATCAGCAAATACTATGCTGTCTCTGGGTAGATGCCAAAGTAAATCTTTCTAGTAGTCCCTAGGAGGGTTAAAGGAAGAGGCAAGAGGACGGATAGGGTAGCCAGCATGCTTGAATTTATTAAAAGGTTGACAAAGTTTCAAAGAAGCAGAAAGCTGAGGTGGACCAACAGGTCCAAAGAGCAAGAGAGTGTCTTATAGCTGCAAGGCATTTGACTTCATGCAAATGAAGCCAGGAACATTGAACTTGGCGACCACCTCATTGGAACCCAGCTTTTAATTTCTTGCCAGGAAATGGCTCTTTGGCCCTGAGTGCCTTAGACATCAGGGCAAGCCCTCCTCTCAGAAATAACAGGAGAGGCATGTCGCTGTCTTGGAGGTGCGAACGAGTCAGGAGATGAGGAGTTCTCCATCTGGAGTGGACTGGATGGAGGCTGTCCCCAACACTGTCTCAGTTAGAGGGGAGAAGGTCTTCATTTCGTCTCGCACACAGGTGTGGGCTGACAGCACACTGGACCACAGCACCCGCCGCCACAGCACCCGGAGCCACAGCAGCTGCCTCCGCAGCCCCCGCAGCCAGATCCGCAGCAGCTAGACCCGCAGCCTCCGCAGCCCCCGCAGCCAGACCCGCAGCAGCTAGATCCGCAGCCAGAACCTCCGCAGCCAGAGCCTCCGCAGCCACAGCAGGAGCCACAGCAGGAGCCACAGCAGGAGCCACAGCAGCCGCAGCAGCCCTGCTGGCAGCAACACTCCTCACAGCAGTCTTGTTCCTGGGAGCAGCAATTGAGGCAGTCTCCCGGGCAGCATCCCATGGTCCCAGCCGGTCAGGTCGCAGGTCAGGAACGCGGCCGAGCTTCCTCTAGGTCTGACAGTGGCCAGCTGGACAGCAGCTTTTATATCCCCCTCACCCAGGGGTGTTGGCACGGGGTACAGGATGTTTGCTTTGTTATTATTTATGCTGGTTTCCATAAGAACGTCTCATTAGCTGGCTGTTTATTTTCCAACCATGAGTACCTCAACTCATAAAAAAAGGCCCCACTCGTCCCAACTGCTATTTGTCCAGAGGGTAAAAATACACCTGGGAAAAGACCTGTCATTAGCCAGGTTGGAGAAGGGAAGCTGGCCAAAGAATCTGCTCTGGCTCCTCTCCCACTTCTTCTCTGGTGGCACAAAGGAGATACCTCTGCTGGCTGTGTAGCCTGTTTTCATGGATGCTGACCCTTGAAAACTTAAGAGTAAGAATGGATAAGCCTTCTGCCTACACAGAGGCTGCCGTGGAGGGTCTGACACTGGGGATCCTCCCAGGAAGAATAGCCCAGGCAGAATGGCATTCTCTCCCCAGCCATGTGAGCAAAGCAAATATTTGTCTGTGTGTGGTATGTGAATGTGAGCTGCACGTTTATTTAGGCTTGGCAGGTGAGCATCTATCACGAGTAATAACTGACTTGTGAAATGCAGGTAGACTCACTATAAAACTGCAGAAGGCTGGGGAGCCGCATTCTCCCTAAGCTGAGATGAACTGAACGTTCTCACTTCTCCCTTTGTAGGCAGGAAGAGCTCAGAGCAGCGCCTGCAACCCACAGCCCCAGGCCTTTCTGTAATGGAAGATGGAGATAAGGAAGGGAAGGGGGGAGGGAAGAAGGGAGAGAAGAAGGGAGGAAGAGAAAAGAAAGAATGAAGTAAGGAAAGAAATGAGGGAGGGAAGGAAGAAGGGAGGAAAGGAGGGAAAAGGAGGAAGGGAAGGAGGAAGGAGGAAATCAGAAAGAAAAAAGGAAATGGAAGTAGGAAGGGGGAAAGAGAGAAGGAAGGATGGGAGGGAAGGAGATAAGGAGGTAGGAGAGATGGAGGGAGGGAGAGAAAGGAGAAGGAAGGAGGAGAGACAGAGGGAAGGAGGGAGGGAGGGAAGAAGAAATAAATGAGAAAGGAAAAAGAAATAGGAGAGAGAGGAGGGAAGGAGAGAAGGAGGGATAGAGAGAGAAAAATGAAGGGGGAAGGTGGGTAGGAAAGATGAAAGGAAGAGAAGACAGAAATGATGGAAGGTAGGAAGGCCGCAAAGAGCAGGGGGGAGGGAGCAAAGGAAGAAAATTGGAAAGGGAAGTTAGATTGAATGAAAGAAGGCAGAGAATGAGGAAGAGAGAAAAGACAAGGAAAGAAAGGGGAGGAAGGGGAGAAAGAGGAAGAGGAAATGGAAGGGAAGAGAAGAAGGAAGAAAAGGAGGAAGTGGGAAGGAAAGAAAAGGGGAAGGAGAAAAGGAAATAAAGAAGAAAATGAGGAAAGAGAAAGAAGAAAGGGAAGAAAGGAAGGGTGGGAGGGAGAGAGGGAAGGAGGGGTGGAGGGAGGGAGGGAGAGAGGGAAGGCCACTGGAAACCAAAACACTCCACTGAAACAGGAATGTTGCAGGTGTGAAGAGAGGGCTCAGCACTTAAGAACACTTGTTTTTCTTGCAGAGGACCCAGCCTTAGTTCCCAGCACACACATGGAAGCTTAGAACCACATGCAGCTCCAGCTCCGGAGACGCCAATATCCTCTTCTGACCTCTGTGGGTACCAGATGCAGGAGCAGTCCACAGACATGCATGCAGACCAAACACCCATATACATAAAATAAATAAATCTGTAAAAATAAAAACAGGAATGTTGAATACATGGACAGATACAACTGCCTTCGACAAAGCTATAGATTTTGTGTGGTTGCTTCTAGGCAACCAAAAATCTCCCCTGAGGTTTTATTACTTCACATAGTTTTTCTTACTGAGTTAAACTCCTATCTTAATGGAATGCTGAGTTTTAAGGAAAACAAAAAGTGGAGATTACATAGAGCATCTGTCGGGATGTGACACTAGTGTGGAATATCCCAGTGTCACCACAAGACATCAAAGGATTTGAGGAAGAGATGAGGATGCCAAAGGTGGGCGAACAGTCTGTCTGCACTTTAAGCCTGGGGACCTTGCCATGCTCTAGGGATGATCATGGCAGTCCCGGAGCCAATGGGGTTCCACCTTAAGCCAAGGGTAGGGGTACAGATGGGAATCTGGGTCAAATAATACAGCCCCTCCCCATTCCTTTGCCTTTCTTTTGGAGATGGGCTGGACACAAAGCCACCTCTAAGAGGGCCCCTCTAAGAGAGGTTAGGCAGACTCAGGACCAGGCAGATGTGGTACAAGAAAGGGAAATGCACAGCTTGGACCTGATGTGGATCCCACTGCCTCACCTGATAGGGAACCTAGGCCATGAGGAAGCCCAGAACCATCACCAGCTCCAGTTGCTAAGGCTAGTTTCATGTCAGGATTACAGAGTGACATCTTCCAGGATGACACTGGGATCATACTACTGTCACATCCTGGCAGATGCTCTCCATCAGTGGTTCTCAACCTTCCCAACACTGCGACCCCTTAATACAATTCTTCGTGTTCTGGTGAACTCCCCCCCCCTCCTCCACAACCATAAAATTATTTTGTTGCTACTTCACAACTGAAATTCTGCTATGGTTACAAATCATAATTTAAATATATAACATGCAGAATGTCTGATATGCCACCCCTTTAACAGAGGTCACAACCCATGGGTTGAAGACGGCTGCTCTGCATCATACCCACTTTTTTTCTTGAAAGCAAGTGATCAGTTAAGTTAGGAGTTATATAACACCGGTCCCTGTTTTATATTAAGTCAAAATCTGAGTGTTTATGAAGTTGTATGCTTAAAAGTGTCTAAGACCATGAACTTGGCTACAAAACACTGACATAATTTAACACTGCTTAGACCACACACAACCTGAAAGTGCTCGTATTTCTTAGAAGATGACACCAGTGTCCAGAGGGACACGTTAATGGTAGATGGGACTCATTGCTAGGTGTTCTGTTTCCTGGTCAAGGGTCCATGCGACAGTACCACCCTGAGGCTAGCACTTGGGAGAGGAGCATAATTCAGCAATGTTCACAGCACACAAGTCCCATTCTGCTGGGTCTGTGACAGGCAATGCATTCTCAGTCTTACCTACTCTGGATGAAGTTTAAGTGTGTTCCCCCAAACTGTGTTGGGAGCTTGGCCCTCACTGCAGCAATGTGAGGCACTGAAGGATGTAGCAGCTCACTGAAGTACTGCTCACCAGAAGGGAATTCCAGAGTGATTCCAGAGTGATTCTTTTCAGAGTTAGTTCTTATAAACGCCAAGATCTGACTTCAGTTGTCCTCTGATGTCCCATTTGGAGCAGAGCACTCTCTCTGTCTCTGTCTCTCTGTCTCTGCCTCTCTGTCTCTGCCTCTCTGTCTCTGTCTCTCTGTCTCTGTCTCTCTGTCTCTCTCTGACTCTCTCTGACTCTCTCTCCCTTATTCTCTCCCTCTCCCTCTCTCTTTCTCTCATTTTTCTTACTCTCCCGTGTGCTGATGTTGACAATATGCCATTGAACATCCTAAATCCTGAGTTAAATAAACTTCTTTTATAGATGTAGACCCAGCTATAGTCACAATTAACTAATATGCAGGATTTTTTAAAAAGAATTTAATGAACAGTCTTCCCTGTCTTCCTTGTCCCATCATTCAGTTCTCTTGCCGCTCAGCCAACCCCCTGTCCCTTTGCTTCTACATTTTACTTGACACCTCTGTGAACCCACTTCCTTAACTGTTAACTGGAAACTATGATAGTAATAACAGGTCTCTCAAAGATGCTGTGATAAAATGTGTGCATGCATGTAACAGATCTCCAGATCTGGTTGGAAGTACCATTCAGGCCTTAGAACCCAGCAAGTACAACATCTGCCAAAATCAGAATAAAGACCTAATCCATCAAAATCTATAGTTCTGGGAAAGCCTCTAAATAACTAACTTCTTTTTGGCTTCTGGAGTTCTGCTTCTAGCTAACTGATCTTGCTAACTGAGGTGTGTCAAGCCAGGATGTGGCTTTGTGCTTAAAAGCTCACTCTGAGAAACTTAGAACTGCACTGTGGTCCTGAATACCCAGTGTAGTTGCTGGCCAGCTAATAAACAGTTTTTATTGGATTGAACCATTTCCAAGTGCCCTACTCTAGTGGATATATCACAACATACATGCAGACAGAACACAGGGAACAACGGCCTTGGAGAAGCATCTGCTATTGCAAATATACACTAGAGTGTATATCTGCGTGTGTGTGTGTGTGTGTGTGTGTGTGTGTGTCTGTATTCATAAAATGCATAGGGATATTTTCCTCCAGACAATGGTTCTTTCATTCAAGTAATTTCAAATAGAAACCCTGATGAAACAGGGATAGAAACATCAGAAAGGGATAAATGATGGCCGCCCTCTGCAACAGAATGGGGAAGAAGGTAGCCCTCACACTCTCTCAATTGTCACAGTGGAGCACACTCCCCTCAGTCTGCTGTGACAATCTGGAGATGGGACTCGCTTTTTCTGAGATTTGCATAGAGGGCAGCCAAACCACTGTACTCAGTTACCCATCCCCCACAAAATATCTCCAGATAGGGAGTGTGGGGAGTTAGGGAGAAGTGATAGGGACAAGCTTTGGCCTGGGTGGCATCCGTAATGTCAGATGTCCAAGACTGAAACCTGAGCAACAGGAGCCCCTTATAGAAAAGAGGGAAGAGGTCTAGAGTGGAAGAAGGTATGGTTGGGTGAATGTTCCCCATAAACCATAGGTGGCTAGGAACCTGGGCTCCTTAAACCTCACCTAGATAAGGAGTCACTCCATGTCCCTGGGCCTCTATCACTCCCAGGTAAAGAGGACAAGATGGGCTAGACCCGTATGAAGAGGGCTAGAAGGGTTCCATTCTCTCCGATCATCCTGCACCCCAAAGAGAACTGTCTGATATAGTTCAGAG